CAAAGCAGAGAACTAAAATCACACATGTGACAAATATCCAGCAAATTCCTTTACAAAATATCTCAATTTGAACAACCACCCCCACCGCACTGCCACCTTGTTATTGGAAATACTCTGCTGAATGTCGATAGTATTATTTTTCATATTGCAGCAACAAATGTAGATAATTGTATCGGTGGTAAAACACGATCAAGAATGGTCTGGTGATTACTTATTAATTAAAGCCAGATTGGGGGAAATGCAATATATTGCTTAAAAGAATTCTTAAAGGCGCCGTTTCCCGTATATTAGAGTGACATTTATTCTGGGGAGGGGATTCTCGCCCTATAATTGTAAAACTGGTCATATAAAAATGAGCGTGATCTTGAGTGGGTACCGCCTTCAATACGATTGCGCAAGAGCAGGACTCATATACATCTCCTAATGATCGGTGCAATGGATAATCCAGTTCATAAAGATGACAAACGCGAAGAAGGAGACAACACGAAGGCGAGTTGGTGGGTGGGGGCTGCCAGTGTACCGGCTTGATCTTACAGGTTTAGGGACTGGTTCATGGCAGCCGGCAAAAAGGCCTCTCACTAATTGAATTTCGTTTTTCCTCCTTTGTCATGGGCAGATGTCACTTTACATCTGTGCCTCTGTTCAAACGCTCTGCTTCTTTAAGCTTAGCAGATGTTCCCTCTCTTATAAATACTGTGAAGCTGGCCGGGAGCCGATGCACAGTTTTTACATGCATTTGGAATCCTTTTTCTTTTGAAAAAAAATCGGTATAGTAGTAATAACCTGAATCATATACTTCGCCATTATGACCTCGAATCAGTGGAAGAAATTTCGAAAGGACAATTTGCTTTCTATTATAACTTAGCGGAAACTGCCTGCTGATTGCTCATTTTCAAAACAAAATAATGCCAATAGTGGATTAAAAGTATTTTCAGTGATGTTAGCCATGATGTTTCTGGTCAACATAAATTGAAAGGAACAAACATCAACGAGAATATATATCAAACACTGGTGAGGAATTGAACACAATAACACGAATAATGAACAGTCTTTTTTGTTGCATAGTATTACCATTGTTGCAGGATGGCTGCATTGAACGGCGTTTCTATTTAGCGACTACATGTTGGTGAATCATATCTAATTGAAGAGATAGGAATATTTTCATATAATTCTCACTGGGGCTGTGATATTATAGCGGATCCCACGATGTTGTGTTTAGCCTCGGGTGAAACATCTCCTTAAAGTGAGACGTTATGCTGGCCTTGACAAGGCGTTTTCAGTCAATACATAACAGAAATACAATGGCATTTTGTTACGAGTTGTTTTGTTTCGCTGTCTTTCAACATTCCAATCTCTTCTTTTAAAAAAAACACAAGGAAAGAGGGAAAAGAAAATGCTTTCTCCCTGATTCACGCCTGGAATGGAAAGAACAATTGCTATGTGCTCTCTATTTGCTACAAATCATTGCAAATACCTAAACTCGTCACTTCATGCGTCCCCGTTCAAAACGATTGCTATATTTCTCAAATATCGCTGCCACTCCATTGAATTATATTTGTAAATAGATTTTTTTTGAAATGTATTAGAAAGTTTTGTATTGTGTTTAAAAGGAACTGAGCTTGAATGTGAAATTAATAGACACTGCTCCCCTTTTTTTTCCAGAAGAGAACCTCTTCAACTGATTTATTATTTGTGCTTCTCAACGTTTCTATTCACATCTGGTACCAAAGTCGGTTCTGAGCTTTTTTTTGTTGTTTTCCCGAGTTTGCAGACAATATTCATGGTCTGGCTCCTATCCGCGCCTTTAATTATGTTGGTCCCGGTTTAAAATTCGAAACGGGTGCTCCAGCTTTCAGTTCTATTAAATTATATTTGGTTCGGTCTTCCCCCCTCCACTTCCCTCTCCCCAGACGCGTGGTGGATGCCTGCTGGAGCAGTTGGTCTATAGTTTTAATAATTGAATTAGCCATTTGGTACAACTTTTTAGCCGGAGCTAGGTCGCCAGAAGCTCGCGTGGAGAGCGCAAGTTTAACAAAACAGGGAGCTGCTGATTGTCAGCCCCAGTCATTTATCCTACAACTCCATAAAACGTGGCAACAAAAGATTTTCCCCCTTTTGGAGGCAAAGCAAACTTACAAAAACTAGAAAGAAAAGCAAGATTCAAGAAAAACGCCTCCAATTGTGCAGTGGAGGCATTTCTGCTTTCACGTTGCTTTGTTTTTCTGTTTTGTTTGATGCAACTGGGTTCCGTGATTTGTCAGTTAAGTTCTGAAACGAAAAAACAATATTGAATGTGTCAAATATATAGCGCCAAACATTGCTACTTGTCTCAAGAATTTTATACACCGGCCGATGATGCAGAATTAGACCCATAATCATTCGGTTAGAAGGTGACAGACATAAACATTGTTTTTCTGGATGCGATTAACGGTTACCTAACAATTCAGGAGGGAGACGGTGGTGAATTTGATGTTATTTTATGGTAACAAGTTGGTAGTAGCAGCATTGATGAAATAACATTTTGAAACAAATCTCATTTGTCCTTCTAGTCTGCTTACAGGTCAATCGAAGGATTGAATAAGCAGCTTTCAGCTTTGAGACAGGGCGAAGGCACTGTTGATCTTTGAGCAGGAGAGGTGACACGTGTCAAAAATTGCCACCTTCAAATGAGAATTCTCATAACCGGGCTCAATGGAGGTAGATTTCCACGTCTAAGTCTGTGCAGAGGTTGACAACTCAGCGTAAAGCATCCCCTGGTGCCGGTACCTACTGTACCTGTACATTTAGACCAGGCCATTGCGTAGCTGCTCCATTCAGTTAGTTTGGTTTGTTCACTATGACCGGTACTAGCCAGTGAAACATTGCTGGTTTCTGCCTCTACTTCACCGAAATATTCAAATTACCTCAAACCTTAAATGGAACCTGAAAAGCAAGCGTTTATTCCTATTTATAACATTACGATGCAGCATTTGGAGAAAAAAAAGTTTATTCTTTTTCTTAGGACTATTTCAATATCAGCCGTCGTTGTTTATTGTTACTCCACAGAATGGGAGGGGGAGAGAAATGGCATTCATATTCATGACTGAGGGAATAAATAAAGATGAATACTTGTAATAATACTCAGATTCACATTCGTCTTTGCAGCTCTTTAGGTTTGCAACTGAACAGATTTGGAAGACAGATGCTTCCCTCGCCTTTGTCGTCTGGCTGGAGACGGATGATGAGAAAGCAATTTAGTGCAATGTGCAATTTGTTTTCCAATGTCACTGGTAACTTTGTTTTCATTTCCCCGGTAAACAACAAAAAAAACAATGTGTACAAAGCACAAAAGAAAGCTCTTCTTTATCAAAACCACAACTCAACACTGATTAAATCGGCCATCATCAATAAGCCTACAGTTCTCTATAACCTACCTGCTTCTAAATCCTGCTGTTTTCATTTGTAAAATGAGATACAGCCTCATCAATCCAACTTCAGCATCTTTAAATATTGTTTGTTGTACAACATTACCTAAAAATGATTTTTAAAATTCTGTTCCCTACTTTTACTTTCTGTCCTATTTATCTTTATAGCCACTGACTATTAACTAGAATACACCTACACATCTGAATAAGCTGTTTTAAAATAATCAGGTTTTGTTTTCAGCTATTTGATGTTTACATTTTAAAAGTAATGTTAGCCTTTTATTTCCGGTTTTGTGCTGGTATTTTTTGTGATCCATCATGTGAGATGCGATGCCTCTTGGATACCAATAAACAATATATTGCATACACTACACTTGGAATAATGTTTTTCAATTTCGCTTGGTATTTAACACATAAAAGACTCATTGATGTAATTACACTAATTTTCTAATTATTTAAAATCACATCAACTGTTGCCTTATATTAGAGTGTTTCCGTGTAAAACGCACTCTTCACAGTTGAAGGATTAATTAAAGATTAAGAATATCCCGTAGAGCGTTGGATTAAATAACATTGTACTTTTGATTCATGTTTTTAACCCAATTCAAAAATTTTTTTCCAAAAAACCTCAGAAATTACCCGTCGGTGTAAGTGAAGAATAGTCCACGGATTTACTTGATTTACGGATTTTATACTGAATAGCTTCTTCCCGTATATACAGTTCGGTTTTGTTTAAAGTACATAAAATGATAACTGGACCATTTGGTCAAATTATATTCCTAATCTTTAATTATGTCGATGCAGTGTCATCTTTTGCATTTCCGGCATTACAAATCGTAAAAATATTTCCCGCACCCATTGCACCAAGCGCGGGATCTGCTGGCGACAGTCAAACGAAAATATTCTTTTTTTTTCTTTTATTGTTAATTATTTGAACAGATTAAATAAATGAGAAAACATTACTTCTAAAAACTATACCGTCGCATCGCAGAAAGATGTTCAAACTGATTACCCTTCAATGTACAATATCGCCTTGCCCACACATTTCCCAGCCAGGTGTGTTTAAAATAAAATCTCTTTATTTTTTTTTCCACTCTCTGTTTCTCTACGCCGGCTCTGTTTATGCACGGTGTCAGCGTCCAGCGAATGTCCACCCGTGATAACATTTCACGCACAACAGGGAAGAGACTTGTTGTTAAATTGAGCGTGTAACATTATTACAAAAAAGGCGGACCATGACACCCGGCTTCCTCTCCGAAAACAGAAAATATCTCAATTTGTGCCCTAGCTATGATCGCTTAAAAAGCTTAAAAGCGTAGGGAAATTGGATCAGGGAGAATCGTCACCCAACTTTCATTATTTAAAAGTAGTCTGATTGAATTAAGGGCAGGGATATGGTTAGAGGGATGATGGAGGGGACTCTGTGCGTAATGGTGTGGTATTAAATTCTAATTAGAGATGCAGGAATCAATGATAGGGAGGTTGGGCAGCTCAGTCCCCCTGTGCCAGCCCAATAGACTGATGAGTTATTGTCATGTAAAAGCGAAGGCAATAAGACCACCGCTTTGCTATTGTCCAAGTGGAAACAGCCAAGTTTATTATGAGGACTATATGCTCTAGAGACCTGAGGCAAGGCAGCTCATAGGAGGCATTTTGATAAAACTAAGCTCTCCTCTTAGAAAGAAGCCCAGTTTAAAGCAGACTCTGTGCTGTGCACATCTACCCACCAAAGGCACCTTCTTTTACTCTCTCTCTTCTCTTTCTCTTTTTCTCATTCTTTTTTTTTTGGCCAGATATCCAGAGCCTTTTCAATGTATAAAATGGAATATTCTTACCTCAATTCTTCTGCCTACGAGTCGTGTATGGCTGGTATGGACACTTCAAGCCTTGCTTCAGCTTATGCTGACTTCAGTTCTTGCAGCCAGGCGAGTGGATTCCAATATAATCCTATAAGGACCACATTCGGGGCCAGCTCGGGATGTCCATCTCTAACTCCAGGATCCTGCAGCCTTGGAACTCTTAGGGACCATCAGAGCAGTCCATATGCAGCAGGTAAGGACCCTTTGCAATCCTTTCCAAAGAGTACCCCTTCTCCCCGCAACAAACATGTATATAGGAAGGTTGATTGCATTTGAAAATTGAAATGTGTTTAGTATTTACCAAACGAAATTTGCTTACACAAATGAAAGAATTTATCACGTTAGAAGCGATTGCAGGCAATGGGTAATTCAGTTACAGGGTTACACTATACTAGTCACACCCGAACCGCCAACAAAATTATCTTAAGCTGCCAAAATGATAGGCATAATTTATTTACTTTGCGATGATACGTAAAGCTTAGAAAATCTGTCCTGGTGTAATTAAATAACCAAAGACTAAAGCTCATTACCAGAGTGTCTTTAAAGCAGAGTGGCTTGGACTGGATACGACGATCATTTTAAAACGTTAGACGAACTTTAATAGGCATAAAATTTAGGAAAGGGAATTTATAGACAATTTTGCACAAAATAAATATATTTAAGCTAAATAAAAACATTAAAATGCTAAATCGTCTGATTTTATTTCTAATTGCATTTCCCCTATATTTTGAAGGAAAACATTCAGAATAATTTCTTCATTTTTATACCATTCTTCATTCCACTAATTATAGCTTGATTTAATCTCAGGTCGTGTCATACACTTAACTACACTTTTTGATACCTGGCTTCTCTTCAGCGAATTGAACAGCGTAATTGCAAACTGCCTCCTCATACATCTATCTTGTATTTAAGTACAAGTTCTCAATTTCATTGTTTTCTAGAGAAGAGTTCATTATGTTTCCCTACGTTATTTTAAGTGCACTTGCATTTCTTTTTGTTATAATTGCATTGATTTGTGGACTTGTCCCTTGGCTCTCTGCTTTCGCACCCAGTGCCATACAAGCTGTTCACGGATCACGGCGGCCTGAACGAAAAACGGAAACAGAGACGGATCAGGACCACTTTCACCAGCGCTCAGCTGAAGGAACTGGAGCGGGTGTTTGCTGAGACCCACTACCCGGATATTTACACACGCGAGGAGCTCGCTCTGAAGATAGACCTCACCGAGGCCAGAGTGCAGGTATTATTGGGGAACACTGATTTAGGACAGCACCATTTCCGTTTAACAATTGCATTTTCTCAACTCTACGTTACTGCAATATCAATAATACTGACAATAGATTGGTACCTTTCTACACATCCAGTGACACCATTGCACATTTGAATAACGCCTTACTCTTGTATGCATTATTGACTAGCGACTCTCCAAGAATTGGCCTTGTTAGAATGGAAGTACAGTAACAATTTATCCGCACATATCTGTTTAGCAGGGTTATCTTATAGAATGTGCAATGTAATATTCTCTCTGCGGTTATGTAAGTTACTGCAACATAGAAGGGAAATCACATCAGAGATAGACCTGACTGAGCAGGGAAAATCTGAACTGTGAAATAAAACGGGATAACACGGACACTCTCCAGTATGTTCGTGATATGTTCATATAGACTGTAGATGGGCGCAATACGTGTGTGAATTTATAAAACCGATAAACAACGAGGTAGACAGTGTGAGCCCTAAAGGAGTTAGCAGTTAACTCCCGAAATGCTTAGACGGGAATGTAACCGCTCCTGTCTCTTCATGCACTAACAGCAGGCTCAGGAACCCTTCCCCTCTACAAGTATACCATTAACCTTCACCCTTGACTTGTTTCTTTATTCATGCTCGGGTCTGTCCGGCGTTTGAGCACTTTCTGCTCATTTAGTGTCACGAGTTGATAGTGTGATTTGAGCAAATCTGTTCTTTGGTCGCATCGTAATTTCTCATTTACCAACACACAGTCCGTTCCGGTCTCGAACTCTTCTGTCTATCCTTTTTCCTGCTTCAGGTTTGGTTTCAGAACCGGCGAGCTAAATTCCGCAAACAGGAGCGAGCGGCAGCGGCGGCTGCGGCCGCGGCCAAGAGCAGCGGCTCGGCCAAGAAATCCGACCTGCGCTCCGAGGACGACAACAAAGACTCGAAACCGGCCGATCCCGACAGCACGGCTCCGGGTAGCTGTGTGCCAACCCCGGGCGCTGGCGGCGGGGTGTCTGGCAGCGGGGGAGGGGGAGGAGGTGGAGGCGGTGGAGCAGGAGGGGGTGGAGGTGGAGGAGGTGGTGGTGGTGGGAGCCTGGGGGCCGGGGACTCCGCCAAGGCTGCTAGTGCAGCGGCTGCAGCGGCGGCGGCGGCGGCAGCAGCGGCGGCTGCGGGAGTAGCGGGTACCGGCTGGGCAACAGGTCAGGGCGGAGTGAGCGCAGTGCCCGACTCAATAGGAGGGCCTTTCGCCAGTGTGCTGTCCTCACTGCAGAGACCCAACGGAACCAAAGCCACTTTAGTAAAAAGCAGCATGTTCTGAACCCTTTTCCCCTTCGATCTTTCAGCACTGGGATTTCAAAAAATGTTTAAAGAAAAAAACGACAAAAAAAAACATTTTGTGTGTCTTTCTACAGCAGTGTTCTGTGACTAAACTGTAAGTGTTATTCTCAGTATAAATTGTCTTCTCTAGTTGACCTCAAAAGTCCCTCCCTTCCCTACCCCCTTACCCTCCCACCCCACCACACACACACCTTGTAGTCTATCTAGAGTGTGTTTATGGATAATTCAATACAAAACAGATCATCACGGGTTGAGTTATTTTGTTTAGGTAAAAGCTGGTTCATATTATAATAATAATGGTATATATTTTTGTTAAATGCATGTTGCCGTCCTCCCCGCCCCCACACCTCTGTCCCGTTCGAAATTATGGTGAGCATAATCTTCATAAATTATGTTCAGGAGTTCAGAATTATTTATATGTGGTATAATGGATGCTTATATTTAAATAAGGAAAATATTTCTACGTGTGCATATAGTTTTCCAAAAGTGTACCATTAACTTGATTGTTGATAATAAAATGCGAAGCAAAGGTTGGAATATGTTTCTGTTTTTTGTTACTAAAATTGTGGCGATATAACCTAGGAGCTGAGGGATAAAAAGTAACCTAAAACAGGGTAGCAACTGTGTGTTGTCAGCTTCAGGCTACAGGAGAATGTCAATGTGAATTTCTTAAATATTGTTGGCCTACATAGAGTGAACATTATTCTAATATATATTAACATCTGTTTCGTCTTGTGTGGAGAAGCTCAAACACATTTTTAAATGGAGTGGTTTGAATTACGGTATTTATAAACAGATTGTGATTGTATTAGTTTTCATTTTTAAGTGTCATCTTTGATGGAAATACCAGAGACGACAGAAGCAAAACTGTGAAATCATAATAATAAAAAAGCAAAACCCATTTGCTGATTAATGCTACAGTTTCACTTTGTGTTGTCTGCATATTCGAAACGTTAATTATCAATCCGTTGCATTTACCCCTTTTTTCTTGAAGACGAATGTTTCAGCTAATGATAGAAAACAATGTTTCAATTTAAATAAACAGCTACTACATTTCGCTCGTCTTTTTTTAAACTCTCAGAATTATGTTGGATTTTCCTGATAAAAAGCCAGTGAGATCTTACAACGAATAAAGATGAATCGGTTGTTTTTGTCACTTAAAGTAGAATCAATCAAACTGATATCAAATTTTTTGCATAAACATACAGTATAGTAATGCAATAGTTATTACAAGTTAATACCATACAAACCGAGGGTTGAAAAGGAAATTAAACTTGCATTTATTGAACCCTTTCAGCGCCTTAATATGTATACTTTTGAATTGTATTCACTGTCATTACGACAGTCAAACCTCCCCCAGCATGATCCCACAGATTGCAACAAAGTATATGATCAGATCATAAAAGCAAAACGCTGCAGAGCTAGAAATCTGAGGTAAACATCGAAAAACACTCAACAGGTCAGACAGCACCTGTGGGGAGAAACAGCTTCTCCGTAGATGCTGTCTGACGTGCTGAGCATTTCCAGACTTTTCCCTGATTGTTGTACGTAATCAAATGATCTGTTTTTGTGCTGGTGCTGGCCGTGGTGAGGGAGAATCTATTTCCTGTTTGATAATGAGACCAAAGCAAGCACCAATTGGTCCTCCCGAGTTAGTTACGTACTATTCAGATTTAACTAATAAAAAGGTTATTAAGTCTTTCCCACTGTCTTATGAAGGACGACCCGTATATGTCCACCATTTCCTCGTTAATTAAAAGCAAGTGCGAGACCAAATGAAATGTAAAGTGATTGATTTTGTCACATATTCCTCTAATATTAGTGAATACTGCATAAACCATGTACAATAGGAAACGACTTATAATAACCAAATTCTATTAGGTTTTTCAAAAAGAAAATAGTATTTTGTTTTTCAGATTTGACTGCCCAGGTACAGTATCTCATCAACTATCAATATCCGTTAAAATAGATCAAAACCGGGCATGCCCCCACTGAGTTTAGGAAATGCAAAGAGATCTGTAGTACAGTACTGAATCTGGACATTATTTGGTTTGTTTTGGATGAATTGAACGTAAGAGATGGCTCTTTGTAAGTAGTTGGTTGTCAATAGAAATAAAGGGCGGATGGGAAAGATATTTTGTAATTAACCAGTTCAGAGGCGTTATTACAAAGCTCTGGAGCAAGGTGGGACGTGAGGCCGGGTTCTCTGGCTCAGAGGTAGGGACACGACCATTATGCCACATGAGCCTCTCAAAGCAGTTAGGAAACACAAACCGGCCCAATCTACTGTTAATAGCAAATAATTTATATCAATCATGGCCAGATTGTTTAAGGAACGTGAAAGATAAAACAAAATGCTCACACACATATGATGAAAAGGTAGTACATCGGCGTGTTCAATGGCATGTACAGTAGTTGGCACACAGCATGCAGCATGTCTCAAAGAAATCTTTTCAATTTCCCGAGACATTTTAGCACATATTTTAAAAAAAACACATCCTGCAAATAAACCTACAGATTCGAAAGGAATCTACTACGAAAAATGTTTGCAACGATTTTCACCTTTTCCCTTTTGTAAGAAATAAGCTTGGAATGATATTCATTCAGGAAGGTGCTTTTGCTAGAAAGTTAGCGCTCACACAACGACCAGTGTAAAGAACAAGTAGGACGCTTTTGGACAAATCAAATATATTTTCATTGCTGGCTTCGAAAGTCTCTCGAATAATTGAAGCAATTTCCTTTTTATATCAAAAATCACATTATTATAGAAGAGGTAAATTCCGCACCATATCACAACATTTCAACATCCTGCTCAGACATCTTGTGCAAAAACCTGTGACCAATACAATTAGTGAAACAACTATCCTACGACGGATCACTTAAAAAAAGGCTGCTACAATATTTTCTCAACATAAAGCAATGATAGAAATCGAAGTTACGGGTTTTCCTAGATTGGTGCTAATGATTCCTGGTATGAGAATGAAAAATTGTCTTGTATCTCAACGATGCCACAGATTGCAAGCAGATTGAGAAGTAGTCATTGATATTTCTGTGCAGATCCGATCAAATAGATTAGGTGCCATTCTCCGATGTTCTCAGTGAACTCCCGTCAGGTTTGAATTCTTTATATCTCCCAATAGCGATTTCCATCAAATAGTCGGTGTCAGATTCTGTTAAACTGCTGGGGATTCATGTCAAATAGTTTTGGTGCCGGTGGGTGATGCCTAACTCTCATCAAATAGACTGAGTGCGAAGCCCTGATACAGTATTCTAAGACAGCTTCAATCAATGATATTAGACGCTAGTACAAGTCCCCAGTGCCCTACGAAAGAGTGTGATCAAATAGATGAAAATGAACCAAAATAGAGCCAATTCATAAAATCCCAAGAGCCGTTTCAAACAAAATCAAGGGATTTCAATATTTGATGTTACAATAAACTTTCCATAGAAAGGTGTCAGTCAGTAATTCGGTAATGGAATTTCCACCAGCTGTTGATCTCAATCTCCGTTTACCGATGGAGGTTTTCATCATGCAAATTTCTTACCAGTCATTGGAAATCTATATTCTAGTCCGTCTGACTGTGAGTTTTCAAATATTGTGACACTTTCCTTTTTTATCCAGAGTACTAGTTTGTGATAACCTATTAGACGCGATCATCAAACCGACTAGCTACAATTCTTCACTATTCCAAAAGAAAATTTCTCCTCAAAACCACATTGAAGTGTTTATCATCATTGTGTTAGCAATAATTCAATTGGTAGCATTCTTCCCTCTTGGCGAAAAGGTTGTGGATTTGAGCTACCCTTCAGAAATGTGAGCACAAAGCTCTAGGCTGACACTAGTTGAATACTGGGAGTACTGCACTGTTGGAGGTCCCTTCGATGAGATATAAATGGAGACCCTCTGTGTTCTCTTAGGCAGGTATTGAAGATCTCATGATCAATCTTTATCCTTCAATCAGCATTACAAAAACAAATGGCCAGGTCATTATCACATTACTGCAGGCCATTCTTTTAGAAGAAGGTGAAGAGGCAGAGGTCATAGTCCACATTTGCACCAATGGCACAGAATGAAGGAGGGATAAGGTCCTGGCTTTGAGGCGTGAAACAAGAGGCTGAAAATCAAGACCTTTATACAGAAATATTATGATTACTCCTAGTGTGACATGATAGTAAGAAGTGTGATGATTGAGTGAATGAGCACATCACTGAAAAAGTGAAGTAGGATGGACAACTTTAGTTTCTGGGGCATTGAAATCTATAATGACTCAAGTGGGATCTCTTATAAGAAGAATGGCTTACACTTTAGTACGAATGGGCTTAATATCCTCACAGGGAAATTTGTTGGTGCTATTGGTGAGGGTTCCAATTAGCTGCTCAGGGTGAGGAGAACCTGAGAGTAAACTCAGATAGAATAAAAACAATTGTTTCAGAGATAGTAGGAACTGCAGATGCTGGAGAATCTGAGATAACAAGGTGTAGAGCTGGATGAACACAGCAGG